GAATAAGGAAAAAGAAGAATTTACTATTATTTTTTTTTGTTAATAAGCTTCAGAAAAGGGTGGGATTAAATACATTTTTGACTTCTACCCATTCCTTTTCAAATATGTTAATTTTGTTATCACTTTTTATCATTTTTTGTTTTGTTTTGTATACATGTTTGAAATAAACTAAACTAAACTAAACTAAAAAATACTAAACCATCTGCGATAAATATGGTAAATTGTTTTAAAAATAAATAAATAAATGTTACCAATTATTTTAATATTTGAGAGAAATACAATCACCCTATTTACAATGTGTTATCATTTTTAAGACCTCTGAAAGATTGATTTAAGACATTTTAAGGCTAATTAAGACCCTATATTTGAATTGATGAATTCAATGCCATTTATTAAGACTTTTTAAGGATTCACGGGAACCCCCATAATCTACCTTGTCTGGTTTGGTGGTCCTTATATTTTACTTTACTAGTAGTGATTCTGTTTAGTATAAAGGTCAGGGTTAGGGTCAGTATTATTTACTAATAAGGATATAAATACACATGTGGGAGTGTTTCCTGAACCATTGGATGGATTTTACTGAAACTCTCAGAAAATAATCATCTGATGTTCGTCTACAACAATTAACCTTTTGGAGTCACTTCAAGATGGCGGCCAGAACTAACCAACACAAAGACGACTCCGACTCAGGTAGTTTGAAATTGATCAGAATAAAACTGATCAGAGCGTCGTCTCTTTAAGCACTAACCCGTGAGGTCGGGTCTCACATTATTTTCAGGGTTTGACTCCTGAAACAGAATTATTTCTCAGCAGATCTCAACCTAAAAAAACAGTTCTTGTTTCTACTTTTAGAAACTTTAATCAGCTTTAAAAGCTTTCAGAAAATGTATAAGCCTTGACTACATTTTATAGCTAAATAAAATAAAAACAAAATTATTTTCACAATCACTTCGATGCATTTTATTTCTCCAGGTCTGTGGTTGTTGGTGCCGAACGAGCTAGTCTGTATATTTCAGAAGCTACTGCTGGATTAAGATTTTTGCACACGACCACCTCTAGGGTTTAAAGGAGAAGCAGCATTTGTGTGAAGAGTAAAGCCTTGCTGATGTCAGAGGGCAGGCTGGAGATGACAGAAAGACAACAGAACCTCTTGTTCCAACCTTGTCTTCACCACTCAACACGCCAGCCTTGAAGCAGATGAGCTATAAAACATTTACATGTAAATATGAGCTGAAGTATTCATGGTAACTGTCATTAAAAATCTAAATTTGAGTCCAGGCCAGCAGTTCTTTGTCAGGTGTGCAGTTCTCCTCAGGAGCTTTGTTCTGCTGATGTAGTCCACCTCCCAGATTGTGTCCTGAACAAGCAGCTGCAGATTCTTCCAGCGACGCAGCTAAAACTGGGCCCACACTCCCGCCTCGCTCGTCGTGTTGCTGCTGCTTCGTTGTGGCAACGAGGTCAGCCGAGACTTTATGAGACCAAAAGACTTGTTGGTTTTAATTAGTGACAGCAACAGGGCCGGGTTCAGTTTGTGAGACGTGTCTGCAGACGTGTAGTTTTACTTATGGTGGTGTAAATAATAAATAATCAGGTGGATATTTGACTCTGAGCTGCAGGACATTGTGATTATGCATTAACAGCAGTTTAATTCAGTTCAGTTTCTGTTCAGTTTATTTTTTAAAGTCACAATAAGGTCGTCTCAGGGCACTAAAATATTCACATACATTATAAAAATCAGTTCATAAAAGGCAGATTACCTTAAATTCTAAGTTTAAGAACCAGTTGGTGAATATTTGGCGACATCTAGTGGCCAGTCTGTGACATAACAATAACATGGAGCAACTTCGCTAAGTCCTGTCTTTTGATCACCATTTCAAGTTTATGATTTGACTGTTGGGGATCACAGCTTCCAACACAACAAATACCAACTCAATATGTCAAAAAATAACTGAGTAGTCATTTGAATTTAGCTTTATTATTTTTTCTTTTCAGTCTAAGTGGCCATCTTTGCATCCAGAGTAGGGATCGCTCTCAGCTATGAATACAAGTATCAGTAGCTGTAAAAACATCTGATTTATAGCAGCTTGAAACTAGTTGTGGTGGCCATCTTGAATTTTTGATTTGTGTTCATAAATTGTTGAAGATTGTTGTTGGCTATTATTGTACCAATTAACAGCTTTCTGTGTGTGAAATTGTCTGATACATGTCATCTTGTCTTAGCTACCAGCAGCTCTATGTTTCTACAAAAGTTTGAGCTTTAGCATTTGGAATTAGCATCTTGGATTTTGTATTTGCATTCAGATTTTGTTAAAGATTGTTCTTGGCTACTAGTAATAGTACAACCAGCCCAAGAATGCGAGAAACCAGCCCAACCGGCAAGGTAGATGATATTTCCCAGTTAGGATAACTTATGGTCGATGCTTGTATACACGCCATAGTACGCTTGTGTGCTGTTGTTTTTCGAAAATGATGTCCGTCATTTGTGTCTTTGATCTTCCGTTAATGTAGCAGACAGAGTAACAGCAACACTAAAGCTGAGGTAAATTTGGTCAAAAACAGACCTGCAGATGCCTGTAAAGCCAAATGGGATGTATTTTCCTGCAGCGATACTGCACAGCTACACACATCTGCTGCTACCGCCGCCATGATTGACTTAACGGTAATCTGCAGAAGGAAGAGCTGCTCTGGTCCAATTCCTCAGCACTATGAACAAACACGCCCACAAAGTTCTGACCAATCACACGCTCCGAGTCGCAAGGTCCGGGTCGCAGAGTTCTGACTGGGGCTAATGTACACGACGGCTGTCACCAGAGGATAGCAGCAGGAAAACAGACAGAAGTTACGCAATTTTTACACTAAAGGTTTAAACCAGCCTTTAGCTACACCACAACAAACTTCAGCTCATTAAGATTAAAAATGGCTGAACTAAAGCTTTTTGTAAAATTAGCATTAGCAGTTAACTTAAATTGGGACTGGCAATCGGCACGTGTTTGGGTTCATTCTTAAGGCCTTGTCACACTATAACATTTTAGACAACTTACGCCAATTTAAGAAAATTTTAAAGACATCTACGTTGAAGATGGAATTAAACAAAGCATCTGGAAGCCTCTTTCAGACATGTACATACTGTAATGCTAATAAAAGGATCAAATATATAACTTTTATTAGAACTTTAGACACAAATGTTTCATAAGTTGGCACACGTGTTAGAGCTGTTAGCTACACCACAACAAACGTCAGCTTAATATGTTCAAAACTGCTGAATTGTGGCCATTTGGAGATATCTGTGGCGGCCATCTTGAATTCTCTAATCCATACTATTGTACCGTCACAGTAACAGCTGTGTGTGTTTTCTGCAGGTTTTATACAAAGTCTACATTTCCTTTGTGGAGGTGGGAGGAGCCAATGTTCTCACGGCAGATTACTTCAAAGGAGTGGGTGAGTCCAGAGTCCTGAGTGCACCTGAGGAAAGGTGTCATCAAGGCTCACAGCTCCTCCTTCTGCTCCTCTGCAGCCTCCTTCCTCATCGTTAGCATCGGGGGGACGTTGGTGGGTCTGGTCTTTGCCGTCGTCCTCGGCTTCGTCACTCGCTTCACCAAGAAGGTTCGCATCATCGAGCCGCTCTTTGTCTTCCTGCTGGTCTACCTGGCCTACCTGACGGCAGAGCTCTTCTCACTGTCGGCCATTCTGTCGTAAGTTCAGTCATCCCAAGGTACAGATGAGGAACTTTGAACACTGAGTCCTTCCCAGGCTTTTCTTCTGTTCTGCATCATTATGATGAAAAATTGTGCTTTTGCTCGTGTTGGTGCTTGTGTTTGTTAGAGATATATCTCAGGAACCTCTGGAAAGGGTTTTAATGAAACCTTCAGGAAATAAAATGCGTATATTTATCTACAGCTAATTAGCTTTTGGAGCCAACCCAATTTAACAACAATTTGACTTAAAAATTTAAAATGCCAGTTATACAGATAAAAAGCTATATATTGGTTGTGGTAGCTGGGAGTCATTTCCAACATGATGTTAGAGATAAGTAAGGCTAAAACTCGATGTGCACTCCTTCAAGTTTATCGTGTTCAGCATCGCCGTATCTTTGTTGACAGGATGACCTTCTGTGGCATCGGAGCCAATAAATACGTGGAGGCCAACATCTCCCAGAAATCCCGGACCACCATCAAGTACACCATGAAGAATCTGGCCAGCATCGCCGAGACCATCATCTTCATCTTTTTAGGGATTTCAGCCGTGGACAAGTCCAAATGGGCCTGGGACACGGGGCTGGTGTCCTGCACGCTGGTTTTCATCTTTGTTTTCAGAGCCATGGGTCAGTCACACCTCCTGTCTTTCACTTTGTTTCTGTTGGGTTTTTTTTTTCGGATAAATCTAGAAAACAGAATCATAGTCAAAAACACAAGAAGCATCGTATGATGAACGAAGGTGGCAGGAAAAGACAAAAACTTATTTTTAAAATGAGTAAATGTCAGCATCTTAAAACCATCAGGTTTTAAAGCGTTGCTGTGCTGTAGATGCTGCCATCTAGTGGTCAGGATAGAGATAGCAGCCAAATTACTCTGATTTCTAATAGGAATAGTAGCATTTTCACATTGTGATCTTTAGCCAAAATTCTTCACTTTCCATAAAAAACTCTGTCTGTGGAAATTAATTCTTTGGGCAAGCATTTTTTTAATTTGTGCAAATATATTTGTTTGATTGGATTTATTTTGAGTTGAAAACTTTTTAAAGACAAATAGAGCATCCCTTTTCTAATAAGCAACCATAAACTAAACAGAAAATCAAAGTAGGATCATAAACTTTGACAGAGTATCTGTAAATTCTTAGTCAAACTCTAGGCTCCTTCAAGCCAGACTAAAGGTAAAAACTGTATATTCTTGTCATACATCCATCAAGTTTGTTGGAGTGCAGATCTCACAGGGCCTGATCTGGACCAGAAATGTTTCAGCATTTACAGAACAGGCCCAGCAGAGGCTGCACTTTCTGAGAGAACTGAACCAGGCCAATGAAAACCCTCAGGATCAGTGTGGTGCAGGGCGTTTTGAGCAGCAGCAGATTAAAATCCCTGCAGAGGAGCTGAGAAGATTGTTCCAGAATCGCTGTAGGATCAGGGCACTAAACATTGTGGTCAACTCCATAAATACTTTCAGCAGCTGCTGTCTGAAGCCAGAGCAGCAGAACCACAGAATGATCAACAGCTTCCTGCCACAAGCTGCCAGGCTGTTCAGCCTTTGTTTGTTTGTTGAAACTAACTTTTGGTCGTCTATCTTTTTTTAAAAATAGTTTTTATTGATCCCCCGCGAGAAACACGGCTTGTTTTTCTCTGTAGTACTGTTCGTGTAGCTAAAAGACAATTAAATGTTGTTTGATTGAATACATCTGTAACAGTAAAACTGTTTTACCTGCTCGCAGGTGTGGTCGGTCAGACCTGGGTGCTGAATCGCTTCCGTCTCGTTCCGCTGGACAAGATCGACCAGGTGGTGATGTCGTACGGCGGGCTGCGAGGGGCGGTGGCCTTCGCTCTGGTGGTGCTGCTGGATGGCGAGCAGGTCAAAGCCAAGGATTACTTTGTGGCAACGACTATCGTGGTCGTCTTCTTCACCGTCATGTTCCAGGTACGAAATGAAGGCTGTGGTGCACGCACCTGGTCTCATTGAAACGGCTGAGCATCGCTAACAAACTATAACTGAGCTCTACCTGGTATTTCCTGCATAGAAACAATGTTTTAACACATTCTCTCATACAAAAAAGTACTATGTCTACTGACTAAATGTGAAATAAATACTACAGAAATACTATTAAAAGAAAAAGTAAGTTTTATTCATGGTTGAATTGTGGTGAGTACATGCTGTCTTCAATTCTGAACATTCCCACTTTCCAACAGGGAGTTCCCACGGGAGGGTTGTTCCAGTTTAAATTTATGACTTGTAAAAGGGAAATTCCCACTTCCCAGTAGAACTGGGCTGCAGCAAAAGTAGCCAGCAAAAATGCAGCTAAATAGAGATTGGACACGAATACGTTTGAAACCTGTGCAGCTCCACCTAGTGGTGGGATGCCATCATTTCCTGGGTAAAATAATCAGAATGTATTATGGGAAATGTAGTTTAAGCCGAGTTCACACCAAACATGTTTTGAGCAGCAAAAACGTGCCCAATGCCTCAAGCTACATTCAGACCGGGACAGAGACCAGATGCGCGTCTGAAGAGGGAGGAGAGTTTTTTTCTGGTCTGTCTTTAATGACGGGTGAAATAAAGATAAAATAAAGAAAATGGCTTTGCTTGCATTGAGGCTTTAGTCCTGGCCCTGGAATAGTGGACTAGATCTTTACGCTAGCAGAGTTGCTAATGGGGTCATGGGACTCTCCAGTCTATGTGTGTTTTGTGAACCTGTAGAACATTTATGACCATGTTTCCCAAGGTATTCTTTGGGTGTTGTTCCCATATCACCAAAGCAAGAGTTGGGTCCACATCACTCTCACAAAGCTGAGCTTGTTCTGAGTGTGGGTCGGACTTCGCTAGGGCTCTCTATTGTCTCAGGATCTCAGAGTCTCTGCCACAAGTGAAGGTTCAAGTACTGGAGAGTCTTCTTTATGAGTGATAGTGAATCAACCTTATCTGCAGTAATTCTGGGTGTGGCTCCAGTTTGTTATGATGAAGGCAAAGCTTCTGATTTGCTGGTTCATTTTTGTTCCAACCTTCACCTCATGATCCGTATTTCCTTTAGACCCTGGATACAAGTGGCTAAAATGGGCTTGCTTCATATCCTTTTCCACTAGTGCCACTTAGTATAGTGTCGGTACAGTTCGGTATGGTTCCAAGCCATTTCCATTAGGCCAAATTCATGGAACCAACCCTTTTAGTTCCTACTTCATTGTGGTTCCATGTGGTCCCAGTCGACACCAAAATGCGATGTCTGAACACTGTTCGTCACTGATTGGCTAAGGGGTGGAGTCACTGGTTGCGTCTGAGCTGCCTTTACAACAAACCAAGGAGCCATTTTTTCAATTGTAGCAGCGACATTAGTCGTGTTTCCATCCAACTTTAATTTGAATATTTAGCAAATTTTTTAAATTTCATAACTTATTTGGCAAACATGTTTCCATCTCTCATTTTACGCATTAACTCTTTTTCGAAAAACCCGAAAACCACCCCCACCAACCGCCCAAAACACACCCACTGGAACCGGACTGGAACGTCAATGGAGAAGCACCCGAACTGACCTGTTCTGACACTACACTACAGTAAGTGGCACTAGTGGAAGAGGGGATAGAGTAGCCATTGGAGGTTTTCTGGGCCCAGTCCCACTGAGAGAAGAGCTAAAGGCAGGCCCAGAACTTGCTGAAGGGGTTATGTAGCCTCTGTGGTCTGGGAATACCTCAGAGAGTCTGAGGAGACGCCTCTGCAACTGGAGCACATTTGAGTGGTCACAGGTGGAAGGAGGGCCGTGGCCTTTCATATCTGAGATGTTCTTGGGAAAGATGAAGAACTCAGAGTTTGAAATTGATCTTCAACTGACTGAATCGTTTGGTGTCCATGTTTCTGCTTCAGGGTCTGACTATCAAACCGCTGGTGAAGTGGCTCAAAGTTCCTCGAGCCACCAACAGGAAGCCCACCATAAACGAGGAGATCCATGAAAGGGTGACTCCTCCTTTGTCTCCTCTTTCTTCTTCTATGGATAAATCTGTTAAGCAGAGTGTGTAACTGTGTGTGTAACTGTGTGCATAACTGTGTGTGTGTGTTTCCAGGCATTCGACCACATCTTGACTGCAGTGGAGGACATTGCAGGACTACAAGGGTATCACCACTGGAGAGACAAGTTAGTCCCAACAACAATGAAGTAAAGTCAGCTTAAACCTACAGATATTACACCTGTGTGTGTGTCTGTGTGTGTCTGTGTGTAACAAGGTGGGAGCAGTTCGACAGGAACTACCTGAGCAAGCTACTCCTGAGGAAGTCCGTGTACAGGAAGAGCGAACTGTGGGAGGCCTACCAGAAGATCAACATCAGAGACGCCATCAGCGTCATTGACCAGGTGTGTCCATCAAAAAAAAAAAAAAAACACAAAAATAAAGCAACACTATAAATAACAGCATCACATTTTGTCACCAGTAGAACTGCTGCACACACTTCAACAAATACACTTAAAATGCACTGATTAAATTTAAAAAGGAGAACTTTACCTCATGTTTTATAATGTTTTTTAAAACATTAAAATGTAATTTATGTTTTAAAATATATAATTTATTAGAACTAAGTTAGAAAAATAATATGAAGATTAATTGAGTGATAAAACATGAAGTAAAGTTCTCCTTTTTAATTTAATTGGTGCATTTTAAGTGTATTTATTTATTTATTTGTCCGTTTGTAAATTTTTGCTTTTATTTCTAATTATGCCAGTTTCAGTCCCCCATAATAAATATGGTAAATATGATAAATAGTTTAAAGAGGTTAAACATCTTAAATAGATTAAATATGGTAAATAGTTTAAATAGGTTAAACATCTTAGATAGATTAAATATGGTAAATAGTTTAAATAGGTTAAATGTGGCAAAAAGGTTAAATATTTTAACAGGGAAGTGGTTCAGAAGCCGAAAGTTTCAACAATAAAACTTTTACATTTTCATGAAAACCTGAGTCATAATCAGCTGATTCTGGTTTTTTAAATGTTTGGAATCTGGGGACACGTTTATGAAAATAAATACGTTCACTAATATTGGTATCTTTAGACAGCCCAACCTCCAAAATCTGTGTAATTCTGCAGAAATAAAACAAAGATTTTGAAAATAATAGGATTGTAAAAATGCAAGAATAAAAAGCTTTTGGTCATTTCAGATGTAAAGATTCACGCTCATGTTTTTCTCTGTCAAAGTTTCAAACAGCTTCTGCAGAGACTCTGAAGATCCTCGAGGTTTCAGAGCTGCAGTTTGTAAACCTGATTTAGAGTGAAGCTCCTCCTTTTCTTGAAAATAATTCTGTGAATTTTAGAGACTTGGCTGATTATTGCTCAGGGTGTCTGATCTTTCTCTCCTCACAGTCTCAAAATAAAAACGCTGAGGCAGAACGAGCTCTGAGTTTTGCACCTGAGTTTACTGTAAAGCAGCTGTTTGCTCCAGAAAGCTTCCTGTTCTCTTCATTAATCCACCCAGTTTGACTTTGTTTGGTTTATAATTATTAAGTTAAAGCATCTTGTTCACAGCTTTTTAGTTGTGCAATAAAACAAAAATAGATTTGAATTGTTTATTCATCTTTTATTCTTTACGATTAAATCCATGGAGCAGGGTGAGTTTTCTGATGAAGACTGAGTCAAAAGAAGCTCAGTCAGGATGTGGGTGTGCAGGACTGAAGCCATGGGAGAAAATAAATAAACAAAACTGGAAGCATCCATTTAGTTTTACTCAGAGGTCTTTTCTGGTTCAAACAGGAGATAAAGGGTTATGTTGTAACAAACTGTATGAAGTCAGTCTGACTCGTGTCAAACAGGAAGTTCACCTGCAGCTTCTGACCGACCTGCGTGTGTTTATGTGCAGGGTGGAAACGTCCTGACCTCCGCCAGACTCTCTCTGCCCTCCATGGCCAGCAGAGCCTCGTTTCCTGAAGTCACCAACGTCACCAATTACCTGTGAGTCCCATGACCCAGCTCGTTAACACAGTGTCCAGGTGTTAAAGTGCTACGTGAGTTAAAAGGTTTGAAGATAATAAAAAAACAAGTCAATGATGACACACACGTCCTGCTGAAATCAGTTCCACTGTCAGTCCAACGGTTGTATTTGGACCCTGGGACATAAAGATGTGTTAATTTCTGTCCTTCATTACAAGAAGTCAAAGCAAACGTCTTTATATTGAAGAAATGGCATAAAACACATGGTTTTACCATTTTTGTCATATATCTATATTTTCTTTTGAACTTGGCTCAGGCGAAGTAAAACAAGAAGTGACATCAAAGGGGAGCTCTCTGGTCTTTGCTTATTGATTTGATTTGATTTGATTTGATTTATTGATTCAACAGGAAAAGATGATTAAAAATCAAGCTTGACTCAGCATAATTGCTGTTTTACAGCAGGTTCCTGTTCTGCAGCACAT